TAGCCAATTATAACCAGCCCGGTTCCTTGGTTCTCACTTATCTGGCATTCAGTGCATCAGAATAGGGGCTCCATGACAGAAAAGAGGATCTACGCTTAACTTCCATTCCCTGTAAATCCTAGGTGCAGTCTGAGAACCAGGAGCAAGGTGGTAGGCAGCTGAGCTCTGGGAAAGCGCTCAGCCAGCCAGATCTGTGGGCAAGTGATCCCGTGAGCTGACTGTTTAGCAGCCATTTCAATTATCTGATTTTTTCTAATTGTAATTCAGGGCCTAGATGTTTATCATCTCATTGGCACCTCAAACCCAAGCGGTACCCTGCCTGTCTCCCCTAAACCCTCAGTCCTCTGTACTGCAGACCCATAGCACCCCCACCTGCCCAGATGCTGGAGTTAAGTAAGCAGGAGTCAGACTTTATTCCTTCCTCTTCTTCTGGCCCCATTTCCAAGCCCCAGGCATCAGCAGGTCCTGCTAGTTCTTCCCAAAAACTTACCTTCCCAAATCGACTGCCTCTGTCCCCAGACCCTCCTCTTTCCCCTGAGCCTCTGAGTAGTCTCCTGGCTGTTCTGCCTACTTCCACTCTTGCTTTCCTATTTTTAGCACAGCAGTGACCTTTGAAAAATATAAATCACACTGTCTCATTTTCCTGCTTAAAATTCTTCAGTAGCTTCCCACTTGCTTAGAAAATCCAGACTCTGTAAGGTTGCCCAGAGTAAGGCTCTACATGACTCACCTGCTGGTCTCTGCACCCAAAGGCCCTTCTGAGGTGCTGCTGTGCCCACGGTCCACTCTCATTTGCCCCAACCTGCCCTTAGCTCTGCAGCTGACCTAATGCCACACCAGCCTGTGACAGTTTCTCGCCACTTACACAGACGTATTGCGTCTATCTTTGAGGGGTTTCTGACTTTATCTGTCTTCACCTCTGGACTTAAGAACCATTGTCTTAGCTTTTTTATCTTTATGTTTATTTTTTTGGTAACCACATTATAGCCTATGCCTTTCAGACAGCCTAAACACAGTAGATAATCAATATATGTGTTGAGTAAACAAAAGATAGACACTGGCTTCTACAAAATAGAAGTTTATATTTCTTACATTGGCATTTGAAGCCTTCACTAGTCTGTATTTCACCTTCTCTGGCAGCCTCACGTTTCCTCGGCACCTGAGCTTCGAGGGCCCTTGGGTCCCTGTCTGTCTCATTCCCAGCCCAGCTGCAGGTGCCCCGGCCCACTCCTTGCTTCTGCTGATGCTCATCTTTCCTCCCCTCCCTGTCTCAGATTTCATCTTTGTCCCTCAAATCCTGGTCTTGCATCCACTTCCATGAAGCATCCCACAATTCTCCCACTTGCAATTAATCGCCTTCTACCTGTGTATTTATGAGTGCTTGAATTCAGAGTCATGAAAGAGAGGAGAAAACATGCATGTGGGGTTAAAAAATACATAGTGTCACATGCTCCCCTCTCTGACTTTCAGGCCACAGGCCCCCGGGCTAGTAATACCAACTCTCATATTTTCCATGTCCTCTTCTGTGAAATGTGTATGGAATGGTGCTCTGGCCTTGCCAGGTTGTGGTGTAGTGTGGTGATAGTAACTGCTGAGTGCTCCACAGAGAAAGCTCTGTAGAAACAGTAGCTGCTTTTGAGAAGGTGGCATGTGGCGGCGTGGTTGGTGACATAGTTACCATGGATCAAGTGAGTCTCCTCCTCTAGACCATACACTGCTCTGACCTAATGCTTCTGGGTCTATCCCCTGTCACTCTTGGTAGCAAAGTGCCCCTCGGGGCCTAGCAAATATTAGGATGAATGGATGAAAATGAGCATTAAATATCAGAACCCTTGCTACGTGCTGATGGGCCCCAGGGAGAAGGAGGCTCAAGCTGCTGTTGTGTACCCTTTAGTTTAACACAGTTCTGGGCAGAAGACTGGGAATCAGTCCATGGGTTAGATATCAGCCCGGATGAACCCTTTGACTTCAATGATTATTTGAGGGTGCTCATCCCACTGGCTGTTCCCGCCCCGTGAAAGACCGCAGGCCACAGAAGGAGCTGAGGGTGATGACATTTTCAACTTATAGATCAACCTGAGATCTTTGTTGGCAAAGAATAACTGTTTTCACCTTGTTTTTTTTTTTTACTTAATTCTGCAATATTTCACAGAATTCTGCAAATTCTGCAATTTGGTGGAAAGAGTTCCAGTCAAGAGAGTTATTGCCTTCTCCACATCTGATTCTTTAATCTTTGTTCAAAGACAGCTTGTTTTAATTGAAAATGTCAATCCATCTCTGTCTTCCTCCCAGCCAGGTCCCATTTCTAGACTCAAACAGAGGAGGAAGGGGTCTGGAATGACCCTGCCATTCTTTTGAGAAAACATGATATGGTTAGAGAAGTAAAGGGGAGAAGACTTGTTCTAGACAATCCCCACTTTGAAAGACTTAACAGAGCTATGTAGAAGGAGCCCTGAGGAAGACTGATGAGCAAGGATGTGGCCCAGGGTTGCTGCAAGTCTGCACCTTGGGGAGGAAGGGTTCACACTGCCTTCCTCTGTCACTTCACACTGTCTCTTCCCTCCTTCCCTCACTTATTCTGTCGGTTCCCCATGGTAATCACCCCCTTCATCACAACAACCCAGGATGCAGGTGTTACTGTGCTCATTTAAGATGAGGAAAGTAGGGCTCAGAGAGAGATGGCCAGTGTATGGGAGAACATGCAGCATTCTAGTTCCCTACTGCTGCTCAGCAAATCTCCCAAACCCAGAGATTGAAACCCTAGCAGTTCTCATATTTTCCATGGATCAGCAATCTGGGAACAATTCAACTGGGTTGTTCTAGAGAGGAGTCTTCGATGTAGTTGCAGACACCTCATGGGGCTGGGAGTCCTGTGTAGTCTCAGATGTCTCCCGGGCTAGCTTGGGCTTCCTCACAGCATGGTGGCCTCAGGGCAGTCAGACTGCTGGCATGGCGGTTCAGGACCCCAGCTCCAGTAGTTCCAGCCTGCAAGGTGCATGACACATGGACTTTTCTGACCTCTCCTCAGAAGTCCCACAATGTCACTTTTATCATTTCTGCCATTCTTTTGATGTCAAGTGAGTCTGAGCCCACCTAGATCCTAGGAGAGGGGACACAGGGCACTCTTGGTGGGAGACGTGCCAAGGTCATCTCACACAATAACGTAAGCTGGAATTTCTTGGGAAAATACTATCTGCCATGCAGACTGTGGCAGAGCCGGGATCTGGATTAGATGCATCTGACTCCAAAACTTCTCCTGCAGAGTTTTAGCCCAGGGATCTTTTCCCCCTCTATGCCCCTGAAGTGCTTACTGTTAGCACACACTTAGAGAGCTGGACTCCCCACGCTTGGCCAGGTTAAAGCCACCAGCCCCCCTGCAGGCCCTGGCAATGAGAGATCCAGAGACCAGGGTCTGCTGGTCAGAGAGGCTGTGTCCCATGCCAGCTTAGGGACTCCTGAAAGGAGACAGGGAAGGTCAGTCACATCCAGAAGACGACAGGGGGAAGGTCCACAGCTCAGGGAGCCTGCGGTGCTTCTCACTGTCGTAAACAAGGCATCTGGTGTTTTTCCTTCTCCCACCAGTCAGGCCTGGGATGACTAAGCTCTTGACAGAAAAGGTGCCTTCGATTTGGGAAGCAGCCCAGGCTGGTGGAAAGCTCAAGGTTCTGCGGTCAGCTCTCCCTGAATTGGAGTTCTGACTCTGCCATTGTCAGTTATGTGGCCTTGGGTATGATCCTTAGCCACGCAGAGCACAGGGGGATAAGAGTGCCTCTCCCACTCGGTTGGTCTGAAGATTAAAATACAGATGTTAGCAAAGGACCTAGGCACATTGTCGGTGCACCATATGCCAGTTTTCATGTCTGGATTATGCCCAACCCCAACTGGGAGACTTCACAAAGAAGGTAACGAGAATTCACAGGATTGCTCCTGAAATATTTGTCCAGTTCCATGACCCTGCATGGAATGGTGGCCAAGGCTTATCCAGTGAAGTGACAACAAGCAGAGGTATCTGGAGGCTTAGAAGAGGTTGACCCTGGAAAGCAAGTAGAGGAAAGGAGTGTGGTCTGGAAATAGAGTGGCATGGACAGACGCCCAGAGGCAAAAATGGTCAGTACTGCTGGAGTGAGAGGGGTAAAGTGGTAGGAACAGGAGAGAGCAAGCACCATGCTAGAAAAATAATCAGGCACCCATTGCTGAAGGGCCTTGGAAAGCAAGTTCCAAAATTTGAACTTTAAAGGCAACAGGGAGCCACTAAAAGGTTTCAGTAGAGACAAGCACTATGTGGCCTGAGGTCCATTAGGATGGGCAGACCGTGGTTAAGGGGAAGATGGTCTTGGCAGCAGGGGAAGACAGCATGGGACAGGAAGGAAGTGGACCACCTCAAGAGATAGGCGGGTGGGTAGGAGCTGGTGACAGTCTGGATGTTTAGGGCTGAGGGGTAGACGTGAAAGCTCTTTGAATGCAATCATGTCACAAATCATGGAAATATTGACAAGGGCACCAATTAAAACCTTGAACAAGGAGTAACATGGAAAGTTTTACTAAAGATGTAAAGTGGGAAGTTTAAAGGTACGGATTAGTCAAAGGAAGAGGTGGGCCGGTATTTCAGGCAGAGGAAATAGCTGTGGGTGAAGGCCCAAGATGTGAGTTACAAAGCACAGAGCAGATACTCTGTGCTGTCAAATAGATGTAATAATTTATACTAAGGTGTCGGTATGGAATTAATCCTTTCTCCTTTCTCAGGGAGTTTGAACTTAACAGGTCAAGCGTCCTCACCCTAAGAATTCATTATTGGTAAATTTCAAGTTCTGTGATCTTGGCCAATTTAGTGAGCCCCTGTCCCTCAATTTTCTCACCTATAAAAGAGGGGACAATATTTTAGCTGCCATTTAAAGTTTTATGAAGACAATATATTCAAAAAGTTTAGAACAGCAGTAGTATTACTAGTCCTCTCTTCACTCTGTCTTTGCAAAATTACTCCTTAACACACACACTTGCAGATATGAAGCTGGGGCGGAATGTGGCAAGAACATTTCTGGATTATTACCGTCTAAACCCCATGGTTGAGAGAGTGTCCATTCCCATGCCAAGGCTGAGGTAAGTAGCAGAACTGGGCAGCATGAAATCTGGTCCCACTTGACAGGCTCTGTGTTCTGAGACAACTTCCCTTAGACATTTTCTGGCCCCCATTTTCCAGTCCATAGCACAGGATCATCCTGGCCCTGACACAGAGAACAGAGAGGGCAGAAAAGCTTATAGTGCTATGTCCTGAATGTTAAGTATCATTATGGGTCAGGCAGGATTAGGGAGTGGTCACATTTTTGGGCCTAACATGGGTATCCACAGGGATCGGGGAAGCTGAGGAGCTGAATCCAGCGTTGTAAGTTAGTTTGGGTGTCTGCATCTCCTACTTCAGCTCATAGCTCATCCTCCTATGATGTGACACAGTCCTACCTATGTCACCTAGACTCATAAGGCCTCTGACCCTTCACTTTCCTCATCTGCAAAAACCATGTGCTTACCTTGAAGATTGTCATAAGATGTGTGTTAAGGTTCCCCATACAGTGCCAGACATACACATGCCCCCTCATCAGCCATAGTCTCCTTCCTCAATGTACAAAGGTTCTGGGCTGGAGAGACAAAGCCCTGTGAAGTTTCACTTTGGGTCTTGTGCTGGAGTCAGCTTCTTAGGTAGTAGGGAGCAAAGTTCAGGAGCTAAGTATCCTTCCTAAGGTCTGGCCAGACTGGTCTCCTGGAGACCTGGTATTTGGGTAGTAACATCTAATGACTTCTGGAATAAGCTGACTTGCCCTACCTCTTGGCCTCATTGACCACTCCCCTAGTAGCCCAGTCTCCTTGAAGGATATGGCAATGTCCAGCTTAAGGATCCTACAGTCTTCTCCGTGGCTTTCTCATGACCTGTCCTTGTGTTTTTCTACCTCAGGACCTTTGCCCTGGTACACCTTCCTTACTACCCTCTCTCATCTCAGAGATCATATAATCACTGTTATTTACTGAGCAAAGTACTGTTTTGTACATGCTCTTACTTAGTCTCTATAAGTATTATATCCCTTATGTTAAAACTGAGGAAAAGAAGGCTCAGAAAGGTGAAGAGAATTGCCTGTGGTCAGAATTTTTGGCAGAGGCAGAATTTGATCCTATGCTTTTCTGATTCCAAAACTCATCTGAGGTCCAGCTAAGCTCTACCTCAAGTGAGAAGCCATTCTTACTGTGGGTTCAAATATTATCTCAGATTCATATTAACTGAGGCCCCTTAGACAGGTTCTTGTCTCTTAAAATATATCTCTTTCTATCTACAAGGTGGGGATAATAGTAGCCTCAAAAATATGGTTTTCAATTGAGCAAGCTGAATACAGTGCCTTGAAGCCAGTAGGTGCTCAATTAATGTTCCCATCTCCTTTGGTTTCTGTATTATAACCCCAGATTTCCAGCCAGCTCATTGAGCAGACCCCTGGACTCTGTTTGGGCTGGATGATCTCTTGGGGTCTACACCTCTCCATGCTGAGTCCCAGGCCTGTGTGCCCCGAGTTCCAAGTTGGAGTCTTCATAAAAGTGCACTCTGACTCATTCCCTGTTCCTCTCAGATTATTCTGGGGTTTTTGTGTAACCCCAGTCCCCCACTCCACCCCCATCTTGTGAATCAGTAACTCCTCAGGAAGACCATATCTGTTTCTTCTCTGTGCCCCCCAGCATTTACACTGTATTAAGGATACATGCATTCATTCATTCATTCAGGAAAAATAGCCCTGTGTGCAGGCTCTGCGGGGAGGGAGGAGCTAGGAGAAGTCAAGGATTAACTCTTTGGTCACTGCCTCTGAGGAGGCCCCTCTAGAGGAAAGTGCTCAGGTCATTCTTAGAAGTCACTCTAGATTCGTTAACATTCTTAAAAATTTAAAGCTTCATAAAACTCCAAAGAATTCTTAGAATCTCATTTACAAGTTAATTTGGGGATTGTCTCTTTCAGGTCCTCTGTCAGCTTGAGTAAAATAATCTTGATCATTTAGCACTTTTCCTGGCATGTTTTACATCACAAACCAGGGAAGTGGCGCTGACACTGGGGAGATTTGCTGTCCCCTGGCCCCTTAGCATGAAACAATTTGAGGGAGCTGAGTTTGAGGGGGCGAGGGGAGGCAGCCGGGGCTGGTCACAAGCAGAACTAGAGCCCAGGTCCATTCCAGCCTGGTTCCCAACATCCTTAGTGAAGGATGCTTGGAGATATAGGGAGGTTCAGGATCAGAAACCAAACCAAACGCAGGGAATCAGCACCCTGATTCTGTTGATGGACCCCTAGCCCTGAGTTTGAGTTTAGGCAACTCCAAAAAGTTTTCTAAAGAGTTACAGCCTTAAAGACTTGAAATGCACCCACCCTTAAATTAAGAAAAGCAGAACTCCTCCTTCTCCATCATTCTGCCTCATCAAACTATCACTATCTTAGCTCTCCACTGGCCAGTGACTCCTTAAATTCCCAGGATACACAGTGCCGACTTGGGGCTGGAATTCTTGGCCTTTTATTATTTTGCCTTTACCATTATGCCTTTATTCTTTGCTACCTAAGGATCAAGTGGTATAAGTTAAAGAACAGTGTTGGTTTTAAAGGGGAATTACATGTTTTGACTCAAAGTGGATCTTTGTTTGTTCTCAAATCTATGTATAATTATGTCAGTTTCCACCCACATGCCGATGGGAGTCAGAGCTTGACCTGATGGGTAAGCTGGTCTCTGGCATGGGCTCAGGCTCAGTCCAAGCTGGCAGGCTCCGCTTCATGGGAGATCATCAACTTCTCAATACAATGTCACCCACTAAGGGGCAGGCCCAGCACTGCATACTGGAGGAGGATAGGTAGCCCCTGCCCATCAAGGGCCCATAGTTCTAGAGGAGAACAGCCTGTACACATGCAAAGATAACAAACATACCGAAGAATGTATAAAAGTGCTACATATCAGATCATACCCTCTCTCAAACACCTTCCATGGCTCTCCATTGCCTTCATTGTAGCATTCCAATTTGTCTTCTTGCTCCTCTAAGTCCTGGCCTCCATTTTAAACTTCACTTATAACTTCCTACTGTGCCCTCTTCCCTGTGAGCACCTTCTTCATCCCACCTGCTTTCTACCACTTCATACCCATGCTTTGTCCTGAACGAGTTGACTGTTTTCATACCACTATCCCTTTGTTCACCCTTTACCTGGAATATTCTTCTTTTTGTCTCTAGACAGTGATCTCCTACTTATCTTTCAAAGCCCATTGACACACCATGGCTCTGTCCATGGACCCTGTTCTTCACCTGGGACAGAGCTCCTTCTCCTCAGCTGGTGAGCTAGTTGCACTTTGTACATGACCAGCATGGTGTGTCCACGGTGCTTTGGCTTGGTGTCTTCTCATGTTGGGCTTCTTCACAGACAACTTGCTCCTTGATGAGCTCTCTTAGTCACTCCACATCCTTAGTGTATAGTGCATGACTAGCATGGAATCAAGTCATTGAATTATAAAATGGTAAAAATGGCAGAACCAAAGAAGCCCCTAAGCACCATCTACTTTAACCCCTTCATGTTATAGAAAATCAAAATGAGACTCAGCTACAAATGACTTCTCAATTCTAATTCAAATGCCCCAGGGTCCCATATTTATGGTGCTTGCCATTTTCTGTGCATTATCATTCATCATTATTGTGTATAGTTATTTTGTACAAATGTCTCCCCTGCTGAACTGTGCACATCCCAGGGAGATCACCCATGTCTGCCTCATTCCTGTTGACCCATACCATGTACCTAGAACATTGCTTTGTGAGTATCAGGAGATGAGGAGAAACACTAGGTGCATTAATTCATATTATCCACTTAACCTCACAACACCCCCAACAAATTGGAATATTTTTCTCCATTATACAATCGAAGTTCAGAGAACTTAAATAACTTGCCTAAGGTCACACCTCTCCTAGGAAGATGACCTGGGAATTCACTTCAGTTCTTTCTGATCCTAAAGCCCACTCTTCCACTGCAAATAAATCTTAGTCCAATGGCAAATCAGTTTGTCAGTCAATGACATAAAAAAGTTCCTTGGTGGAGAAAGTACAGAAAAAGATCAATTGTTGGCCTTACTCACAAGGAGTTCATAGTCTAGTGTGTGTGCAAAGAAGACAGAGGTACTGAAAGGTAGTTTTAAGGATATTGTGTTGTGCTCTGGGTGTTGAGACATATAAAAAAACTAAGTGACTGTCTGTCTTTCAAGTGCCCCCAAGCCTTTGGAGAAGGCAGAGCCATCAGGAAACGCCATCACTGGCTATACTGAAGAACACAGAGGGGACTCAGGAGCCGTTGAGGGTTATGAAGGGAATGAGGTCCATGTTTTCCTAAGCTATAGCTCTAATGTGTGCTTATCTCTATCCCGTCATGAAATGGATGAATGAACTAGAGTCAGGTTAGATGAGTTGGAGCTGTAGAGCAGTCTGACTTTCTCCAGAACCAGAATGGCACAGTGTATCCACCCACCCACCCATTCATCCACCCATCTACCCATCCATCCATCCATCATTCATTGAGCCAAGATGCCTGCTTAAAACCCACACCTGTCTGGGGTCCAGTGACACAGGGAAGAGGAAGGCAAGGCCCTGGCTCCTGGGAGGTCACAGCCCAGTGGGGGAGACAGACACGCACACAGATGATGGCAATGAGGTGTGTAATATGTGCTGTCTTTCTGCTCTCTGACTGTTATCTCCCCTCATACAGGAAAGAAAAACCCCCTCCCTACAAGCACCCACTCCTGCGGGGCCCAGCCGGCAACCACCCCAATGGCAAAGGGGACAAGAAGAGCTCAGTGAACCACAAAGGCCCTTCAAATTCTTTTTAAAGACCTGAGCTTTGGGAAGGTCTTGTGGCATCAGGAGCATGGATTTTCTGCTGGGATTTGAATTGAATCGCATTTTTCTAGTTTCCAAGATAAGAATTATGGGATAATGAGTGAGGTAGTAAGTAAAAAGGAAGGGGGGGAAACTGAGGAATTTCATCATCAATTTTCCCTTCTACCAATGGCAAGTCAGTTGTAAACCTTCAGCTTAAGGCTCAGGAACAAGACAGGAGCCTCCAAGCAGGCAGCTCCCCACAACAGAGATCCTCACAGGATGAGGAAACCTAGGCAGCCCTTTGGAGAGCTTCCCCCCATCTCAGGTCAGTGCTCGTAAAGACTCTATCTTCGCAAGCTGTACAGCTACTTGATAGTGACCTTTTAAAATAGGCTATGTTTGTTCTGTTTACATTTTAGAAATTCAATGCCCATGTTTGCTGATGCAAAACACCCCCACCAGCACATACAACCCCAAAATTGTTGGGAACAATGGGACAGAATCTTTGAAATCACAGTGCTCCTAGACAGAGGTGCCTGCACTGGGCGCATGCAGCGGACACCCCTCTCCCCAACACGTAACTACAGGAAGCAGTTTGGAGAGCTATTTCCCAACGACCTGGGTAATTGTACAGCAACCTTAGCTAAATACATAAAGCTGGTCACGCCTCCCGAAAGGCTTACCATGCTTCAAATCCCCAGATCCTGGTGTAGGAGCTCAAACCTGGCCATTTGGTGAAATGGGCACTGATTATCTGCACTGGGGCGGTGGG